AAATAAATGTAGTCTCAAATCAAAACAAAACATCTAAATGGACAGGTCTTTAGGCCGAACAGGTTTGAAGCTGACAACATACTTTAACACTGACCATCCAATCTTCACTAAGGTAATGGGAGTGCAATGTGGGCAGGGGAGGTTCGAGTGGCTAAAAGTGGTCGGGCACTAATTAAGCCATCACAAATTGAATTCAGTCAAATGCAGAGTGATTGAGATGCATTTTTGATTCTTCCTGTTTGAGAGGAGCTATTTGAAGAAGACGTCCACACTTCGTTCTGACACACTCAAGTACATATCATGTTATAACATTCCAGCGCTACTCAGTTAAAAGACTGCTAAATCGGCGACTTAATCATGTCACGTTGAATTCGCTCAAGCTGAGGGTCAAAGAGGCGAGGCTAATAAATGGCAAGAGACCACGATGACATAGCGGAGCATTAACATGATGCGGGCATGGGATTGTAAATTAAGGACCGTCCGCGATCGCGTCTATCTTTAGACCGTGGCTGCTGTTCCAAAGGCCTAGCTGACGCACATTTGGGACTGTGTCGTGTAATTAACGTTAATGCGAATGTACTGTGAAGATCTCTACAAGTGTCATCATGGTCGCTTGGATTAGCGCAAGGAGCGTTTTTTAGGTCAGATAACCACGGGTGTACATGCTGTTTGTCTAGATCAAGAATGGGCGGACTGCAGCCGGCAGGCCAGATCCGGCCTGGGAACAGTCTTTGCATAGTACATTGACCCTGTAATTAAAGTAAATGTGACCCGCTGTGACTTGATAATTCGCAGACAGAAACATTTTTGTCCGTCTTGAAAACAAAAGTCTGTAGTTTCCGGGCTAGCTGGAAACAATGAAGCTAAAATTAAGTGTCGGTTTAGTTGCCGGTCTACCGCGATGCAGCGGTCTATCGTAAATCTTGCCTGACTGACCACGGTTGCGTAGCGAAGTTCATTTGACTGCGATAACGACAGTGCTCGGTGACATTTAGAACATAGACGGTGGCGTTTACAGTAGTGGTTCGTGTATGGGTGGATAGCTTCATTTTACTGTGTCGTTTATATCAAATTTTTGTGTGTGTGCGAAAGATTATGGTAGACAAGTTAGTCGAGCAGCAAATGAACAGACGGGGCTATTTTCAGGAAATCAGGCAAGGGGAGGCAGCCTTGGTGTAGTATGATAGATATTCTAGGGCGATACAGTCACAGTAACGACCTATTAGGCGCCAGCGAGCATCTTGCATCGATAAAACGGTTGGATAATGCTTGTTTTCGGCTCCTTTTATTTTTCTCTTGTTATTGCTTTACACAACATCTTAAAGTTTGGCCGGTACTTACCAGCACTGCGCTCCCGTGTTCAATGGATGCGCCGCGCCTGGATGTGCTGATGTCTTCTTTTCAGTTGCTGCTCCTTATTTCGGGATTTTTTTTTTTTGGTCTGTCCATCGCACTTTGTCTATTCCTTTTTATCGGTACCGTGTTGGCAGTTATCCATAACACGTACTATGTCCGAAAACCCTTTTCTGGGAGCAGAGGAAAGTATAAAAGGGTAGAGGCAGCGGTAGGAATTAGTTCCCCTGGAATGCCCCCCCCCCTCTCCAAGTCCCTAAAATTTTTCTGACGGTGGAGGAGGTGCTCTGAGCATATGTCCTGAAACCGTTTTTCATTTAAGAATACTCAGATAGTCATCGATGGAAGTAATTTGAGAAAGAATCGACTCAACATTCGCAGAAAAGCAGCGCCTAGTTCTTGTTTTTGCAGCGGGTCATTAGAGTTTGAGTTTACTTTTAATCTAAAAAGCAGTCAATTCTTTTTTCGCCAGTTTCCTCACTTCTCGTTTTCGACCCCACATGACAGAAGTAGTTAACGCCAGAAAGACGTGCCACGAATAGGGATCTTTTCCATGACAAGAGTAAATAACTCACACCATTCTCTCAGGCGTTCCAAACTGACAACGTAAGCCGCGCGAGTGGGAATGCAGAGAGAGAGAGAGAGAGAGAGAGAGA